TGGGGCTTGTTTAATAGTGATTTAAAGCAAGAAATCCAGTTAGTGAAAACTTTAGAAACTATAATCATATGCGCAAGTTTTCAGTTGAATGTTATTAATTTTGTTTAAAAAAATATGGAATAATAATCTTGAGCGAAATGTTTGGAAACTTTGCAAAATTGCGAGATATTGGACATCAGCAAATCAGAAAGTTTTAAGAAAATTAAAAAATTTTCGAAGGAAAAAGGAGACAAACATATCTAATAACAACAGTTTCAAGAAATCACTTGAGAGAAAAATTTTTTTTTCAAATTGTTAAGCTTTTCTGTATTCTGTGCGTTGAAATGAACTGTAAACTTGTTAAATGCAAAAATAAACTTAGTTGGGAATTGACACGGTCGTAAAAGGTGTAAAGGAGTGTTAGAAAACCTAAATAGTTTGAACGTTCTTTCAAAAGATTTGTAGCGAATTTGGTTTTTTGGTTGGTTAACGTCGACTATTAATAAATTATTCTGGATCACATACATTTTCGGAGACATCAAAGACTACTAAGAATGAGAGTTTTCAAAAAGTTTTGTCGATTTTCAGTCGTAAATATCGACTTTCGAAAATACTTTATAGTGAGAAACACACACAAACCAAAATTGTTTCTTGCCCCTTGGGACGTTTCCTCGAACTGATCAATTTCGAGTTTTTTGAAAAATTTCAAACCTCAACTCTCTGCATTCGTAAATTGACACCAAGCTTCCAAATAGTGGAGAAAATATTGTTGAAACATTATTTCTAAAGGCCAATTCATTCATATTAATAATGTTGCACTTCAACAAACATTCCATATAAAAATCGCATTTATACAAGTGGAACTAATGAGCAACGTTTTTCAGTCACGGTTCCTAAAGCAAACTATCTGGCGAAAGGAAAAGAGTCTACACCAGTAGAGATTTTGTCATCGTTCCTGCAGATGGAGCCAGACTTAAGCTCTAAAGCCCTGCACAATCAGAATAGACTCTGTTCCAGACTGTGTAGAAGAAGAAAAATGCCGGTCCAGGAACTCAAATAGAGTGAACCTTGAGCAAGCAGGAGTAGACGAAGGACTGATGGGATTTGTAATGGGACACTCCCGTGTAGAAAACATCTTTTCAGAAAGAGAGAAAGGGAACTAGAGGATCAAGCAAGTCTACATTTAATGTGCTTCAGCACAGAAAATCGAACAGGCATAAGAATGGGAACGGCTGAAATCATGGCAAATGAAGAAATGCCCATTTTGCCCAGTTTTAGTGGGGAAACGGTTCTGGGCGGTGCATAAGAGAGCATTTCCCAAACCTCATCGATAAGAAGGTAATAAGGAAGCTTAAAACCTAAAAGAAAATTTGGGAAGTTTGTATATTTCCATACAGTTCATGATGCTATATTATGATAAATTGTAGGAATTTTGAGCCATTCAGAGGGTAGAAAAGAGTCACCTCTAACTACTTCTACATCGTTGCGTTGCTTCATTGTTACACGATTAGTCGGCGACGGTCACATGCGATTAGTCGTTTGTTTGGAATTATTTTACGCTGCAAAATTGCCTTTTATCGTGCGATTATCGCCTCCTCTAAGGGCATAAACGCATACTATCTGGCTGATGCCGATTCCTAGTTAAGCAATTATTTTAATCGTTCATTTCCCATAAAAATTCGAAAAATTCCCGTAAATACTCTCGTCTGCAGGTCTTCGGTAATTGTCAAAATTTATCGAGTTTCGTGTTATGAAACAATTAAACAGCGAAACACCTTCGGCTATTAAACAAAAAAAGGTGCTATTGAAGTAAAAGTAGTGCACGTGATGTTTTAACTGTATACTGAGGAGTACGGCTATTAATTTTTGTTCTTCACCTCACTGTTAATGTCGATCATTCCTGATCGGGTTCTGAATGGTAAACTGTGTAATTAGACAGGTATAGATGATTATTAATTCGTACAAGACGAGAAATTTGTAGAGCAAATCGATGATTTTAAAGATGTTTCAATAATTGAAGTAATAAACCCCCTAATGATGGAATAATGACTTAATAGTACAGAATTATTGGAGGAAATAAGATCGAGCTTAACCGATAAAAACTTGGTACAACCTTGGCCAGGTGGATGGAATAATGACTTTGTAATTTCGGAGGAGACAAGCACGCCATTTTTCAGCGCTTTCGCATAATCTGTTAAATTACTTAAAGATAAAAATTACTCAATTTTGAAAACTGTGTTCAAATTGAACTATTTTTTTTAAATTTCGGTCTATTTTTATTAAGTGACTTGTAGGTTCTGAGGACTTTTTGACCTGAATTCTGAATTGAACTGTCTATAACTCAATAGAATGTTTTGTCTACATGCAAAAATACGTTGAAAAGCGCGTAAATAACGCCGATAAACTGGACAACAAAAAAAAACAATAATAAACGAATTTAACGCGGTCACTTCGCTGTCAATCCTGCATTTTCCAGCAGCGGCTTTTGCCGGTTTTATTTCGAAACCGATCGGTAGAAAATCATCACTGCAAACCGAACCGATGGAAAATATTGTGAAAATATGGAAAATGAGTACGTCATTTGCAAATACGGGATCCATTGATACTAATGCGAACAGGATATTGTTTTTTGCGGAAGAACGATCGCTACACAAAAACGCATTCTTTCGATTCAATTGGGAATTGTGCAATTTCGGCCATGTGCATGATAATTGGAAATATCGAGATGACATGTGCCAATTTTAATTGAAATGATAACTGCACAATGTTAATGCAGACGGACATTGGTTAAGAATTTATAAAACAGCTGTTTTTTCAGTTTTTTCAAAGTTGCGCGGCCAAAAAAACCCAGGAGCAAACATGCTGAAGTTTTACTTAACAAAACCAACAGACAAACGATTAAATCACGATTTTTTAAAATTTCCAACGATTGAGCCACTAGAGCTTTTCCAGTCCATGTCTGTTAGAGAATCAAAAATTTTTTCAAAAACTCTTTTCTTGGAAAAAAATATTTTGCTCACTTTCTTGATTCATAACTAGAGGATTCAATAGTAAAATACTGCTCGTGAATACAAAAATCTAACAAATTAAAGGAGTTTAAACGCCTGTCAATACATTTTGTTTCGTCGAAGTTGACTTTCTCTTGCGTATTTTATTGTGCGTTTATCTCGCATTTGAAAAAATCTTCTATTCTATTGAATCATGCAATAGATGCTTTATTTTTTTATTGTTGGTTGGTAAGTTGTATTCTTGTCCTAAAGATTAGTCATTGCTATTTTTTCAAAAAAAGGTACTTTAATGGCCAGAATGCATACATTTTCCTTCTTTCTTGTAGATCAAGACTTTTGACACAACGTGCCTTGGCAAGATGGCCATTTTTCCAAAAAATACCATATATTTTTAATTAAAAAAACCTCCGTTCTACATTTTAGCCTAACGTTTATTCATTAAACTTTCTAAACTTATCAAAAATTGTTTCCAAAACACTCCTGACTTAACTGTTGGCAATAGCTAATCTTTGGCGATTTTAGACGATTGAAATCTATATGTTAAATTTATTTCGAGAAATAACTTATGACACTCTATGAGCGATATTAATTAAGTGCAAACAGCTGTTGAAATGATAAATAAAGCACCAAAGAAAAACTAAATACGAATTCCATAAATGCAGTGAAATTTTGCAATTCCAGGTGTTTTACTTTCTCAGACACCTCCAGAACTGGTTTCGACCCTATTAGGTCTCATCAGCTGGGTTTAGCCTTAAAATAACACTCCCGAAACCGGTACTTTCTGTATTTTACGACGCGTAAAAAGTTTAATTGTTCTTCTTGAATAAAAACTGAATATATAATCTGGCAGGTTTTGCTCGTGTTTTCTGGGTGAATTAGTGCCAATTTCAACCGCTTTGGAAGTAAAGAGCAAATAAAAATATTTCGTCTTTTTTTGACTAAAAGGCGCACTTATAAAAAACAATGTAACAAATGCAGACAATTTTTTCCTTTTTAAAACATAATGAAACGCACAAAAACGCGCACTTATAAAAAAAATGCCAATCTGCGCCACATTTTACTCATTACATACAGCGCATATTTATTAAATAATGCAAAGCTAAAAATAGGCAAAACAGATAGGATCCAGAGCAGGAGAATTTGCGAATACAATGCAATAAAAATGTAAAAAAAATAATAAAGTCAACATACACAGATTTCTTATGCAATTTCAAAATAAACACACTATAGATGATCCAAAAAAATATATGCACAGCAAAATTTTATTATTATATGATTGGCATTAAGGATATTGGCCATGAGCCTCCACTATGTATGCATGTAAACCAATGAAATACTTGTAATTTGTTCTAGTAAAAGGTAACCTCCATTCTCAAGTCTAATTACTCAACCAGCATAATTGTGACATTTCTAATATAATAAGACATAAAAAATAATTAAGGAAAATATTGTCAGACCAATTATTCTGCAATATTGTAGAAAACGATGGGAACTGGGAAACAATGGCATTTAACGTACCCAGTGGAAGTAATTAGAGGCAATGTTCGATTTTCGGTTTGCAACAATCACCAGTTCGAATCAGTTTTGCGCTAAATTGGCCGAGTGGGAATCAATGTATTTTCCTAGCAAATAAATCATTAAAAATGTATCAACTATCGCTCCTTAACGCGTCCAGAACGAGAGAATCAATCTCAAGTCATTTCACACGTGTGTATCAATTACATTGTAAAAAAACCTTTTAAATTGTTTTAAACGTGAGGGTTTCTACTCGAAATTAAAACTAATCAATTCAATTAAATAGCAATCAGTCGACTGGTAGACCGTGGATTTCGAATATTTCATGTTATAAATAATTTCGGATGAATCACGTTTCCTGTCTAGCTGAGTCTAGAGACGCTTATTAAACATGTAGGATTATAAATAATTTTTATAACTAACACACAGTTGTGTTTGGGGCTCAATAAATCTTGCTTGCAACGGTTCAACTAAAACATAAAACGAAGTCTTTCTTACCTTTCTTTGGTATCAAGCTCTTCAGCAGCATAATGGCATTTTCATCGCAGGCCCAAGCATGCATTTTTCTGTAGCTGTCTCGGCCCTTTTCCGTCAACTTATCCCAGGGCTTGGGCTTCGACAGAAGTTCCGAAACTGTTCCCTGCGAAAGCCCCAGGACGTATTTGGCAAACAGTCTTTGGCCTATGTTGTGGATCGACAACAGTTCTCGCACCCTTCGGGCTATATGAAGAGTATCTGGAAAAAACGTGCCGGTTTTTATATAGAAGAAAAGTTTTGAAGAATATTTGTTGGGGACAAGCATGTCTATGAGATTTCTTCAAGTTTTTTGTCCTGCTGTTGCTGCAAGACTAGTAATAGTAACTTTTTGCTACTTGAGGAGACCCGAAGTAACGAGACCCGAGCCGGATGGGATGTGATTACTTTGAATACTTTGATAATTAGGTGTTTCTCTCTGAAATGGTTTTTCTGTTTAGATGTCTATTTTTGCCCGTTTCCATTTCAGTAAAATCTCGTTTCATATAAAACTCACAAACTAAATTAGAAAAGGTCTGAAAAAAAATCAGTTTGATAGAGGAAAGACTATACTTAAAATTAGTTTTTGGATGAAAGAACGTCTATAAGACTTTTTGAGGTTTTGAGACTAATCAAGTCCAGATAATTGAATGACACTGTTAATAAATACTAGAGGAGTTGCAAAAGTAACAATTGGTTACTAAATGAGACCAAAAAGAGAAAATATCGAACAGAATGAGATGTGATTACTTTGACTTCGTTGGGCGAATTTATTCTCTTTGATGTGATTTTTTATTTAAAAGTCGATGCTTTTGTCCGATTAAAGCTCATTGATGCAATTTTTATTGTTTTCCTTTCATTAAGTGAAACATCTTTTCGTATAAAACTCACAAACTAAATCAAAACGGAAATTGGAACTGTATCTGTGATGGATACCTAACTTTTGTTTAGCCAACATTAGTTTCATCCTTCTACCTCTTTCTCACTTGGACTAGAAACCCATTCTGGCTTCACAAAGTCAGTTGATAGTAATCTAATAATTTTTTAAAATTTTCTTTGCAAGCTAGAAAAACCATCAAGCATGGCAAACATGTTCCTTGCAAGAAAGTCTTATTCGCCAAACTATTTCCAATCTTTCAAGAATAGTTTTGTGAGAGTTTACTCTTGAGTCTTACTCTTGCTACCACAGTTTTATCGAGTAGAATGTTTATTTTCACTAACTTTGTAACTTTAATCACAAAGTTTGCTAACTTTTATACTAAATGGCCGAATTTAACGATTTTTTTTGTCATTTGTAGCTTAGTTCTTAATAAATGTTGCTTTTTTATTCGTTGTTTCATCTTAAAAATTAACACAATTACAGCATAATTAAGAATTTCCATGTTTTTTAAACCATTTGTTCTTTTGATAGAACTAGAAAATAGGAAAGCCAAAAAAAATTGAATTATGTTTGCAAGAAAGTATTATTTGCAAAACTACTTGCTTTTAAACGCGATCTTTGTGGAACATTTTTAAGAAGACTTTATTTTACACAGACATAGACAGAGATTTTACACTTTTTATTCAGTTTTTTATTTATCAGAGTTTCATCGCGTATACATTTTCCTCCCCAAATACCCAGAGAAAGTATTTATAGAGACTAAATGAGAGGATCGGAAGACAAAAATTAATTTTAAAAAAAGTGACGCACGTAAATTTTTTGAAAAATTCAAAGTCTTCTTCATTTTATATTAATTCGCCGATTTTAATGATTTTTGATGCCGTTTGTAGCTTAATTGTTTTACTATCATTTCAAGGGAAATAAATGTTCATTCCGCATTTTGCATGGCAAATAATTGATAAAACATCAAGTCATGTTTATTATTGGTTTTTCGCCACACTCTGTGTATTCCAGTTTAACTTGAAATCAAAATGTTGTAAATCCTTGTGAAACTGCGCTTTTTTATGCACATCCCTTTTTTTTATTCGTTGTTTTATCTTAAAAATTGAGAAAATTACAGCACAATTAATAATTGCAGTATGTTACTATCGTTGTGTTTTTTGTAGAACTGTAGCAAAAAATAAAACAAAAAAAATACAGTTCTGTTCGCAAGGAAGTGTTATTTTGCAAGCTACTTTTCGTAAACTGAATCCATCTGATAAATTTTCTGAATCTGAATCTTACTATTTTGGAAATGGACTCAGTTTCAAAAAGTGGCGAAGCTGATTTCAAATAACCGATTTTAATGATTTTTTGAGTCGTTTTTAGCTTAATTCTTTGGCTGTAATTTTCAAAGCAATAAATGTTGATTATTCAGTTTCTGTGGCAAATAATGGAGGAAACATCGAGCCACGTTCTAACTTTATTTTTTTAAACACGCTGTGCATTTCATTTTTGTAAATATTTGTTTATGTAAATTATAGTTTTGCCATAAAAATTAACAAAATTACAGCATATTTACTAATTGCCATGTGTTTTCAACATTTTGTTTTTATACACACTTTTACCTCTCCTCCTAATTCATCTCAGAGATACTCAATAGGTTTTAGATCTGGGCTTTTACCAGGCCGCGCTAAAATGGTGACACCACCAGCAGTTTGAAAAAAAATTAGCACAATCTGCACTGCTTAATGCTAAATACTATTACTAAATTGGCTGAAATTTTCTCAATTTTTCATGTAAAACAATGATTGAAAAATTCAAATGTTCACAAAAAGAAGCAACTTCATTAGGGATTGACGAAATGTTGGCAACATTTTGGAAAAAACTGGCAAAAACAGGAATCGATGTGTGTTTTCTTTATTGATTGTCACAGAAAACAACGAATCAAAATGTGTTTACACTTGAACTGAATGTTAAAAAATTAAGCTACAAACCAAAATATTTTTAAAGTAAAATTGTAAAAAAATATTTAGATTTTAACCAAAAAATCTGGAGCGCCACGTTTTTTGAACAAAGTATTGAGGAGATTTACAAGTTTATAATAAAATACCGTGCGTCTGCAAAAAACACAATTGATCCCACATTAGCTCCATCCTTCTATACCCGCCTCTGTCACACACTGTTGGAATCACTCCTACCTGACTGAAGATTACCATCATAGACACACTTCATCCTCCAACCATAAGTTAGGATAAATTGCATATCGAAAAAAATTCTTACCCAGATTCTGCGAAGCATATTTGTCCATATTGTATCGCAGCATCTCCTGCAGCCGGGCCTCCATGGGATCCCCTTTGGGGATCAAACTCTCCCCCAATCGACCCACCATCGATCCGGGTGCCATTCCCAAATCTTCGGCGAATTTAAACTGCGACCGATGCTCGTCGAATCGATACGGACTTTTGAGGGAATCGTCCGACCTCAAAAAGTTGTTCACAAAAGTGGCCGCCAGCGGAATGTTATTGTTGTGATTGTTATGATTGTTGTTGTCCTCGTGCGGACTCTTCGGGTTGCCATTCACCAGATTTTCATGAGGACTGTGCTGGCCCGTTGTGTCCAAGGGCTGGGGCGTGGAGGCGGTGCTGCTCTTCTCCGCATTGTTCTCCAGTAGAGGAGTGGTGCTCTTCACCAGACCATCTGAAGAAGGTAAAGCGGGTGATTTTTGATGCGATTCAATCGTTTTTCGCCACGAGGACACGATCTCCTCACCCAACAGACTCCCGAAGGCGTCTACGTTTTGAAAGGGATGCGGAAGGGTGTTGGGGGGTGTGATGGGCAGGGTGGGGGGCTGGAGTGTTGATTGATGTTCCGTCACCCCTGGAAAGAAGGCAAGTCATAGAAGAAGGCAGAGCTTGTTAGTCACAAATGATGCTGTTAGTTTCAACCTCAACAGATGAGAATTTTTACTAGCCCTTTAAACGGAATATCAGCGTTAGTGGACGAAAAATAGATGAATGTTAGTGGAAGAAACAAAACTAGGTAACTTTCGGCAAGTCAACCTATTAAATTGTTTGATAACTTAAGTGGCAGAAAGGAGCTGATGGCGGTGCTCCATTATTCTACATTATGATAGCATCACCTTGATAAGTCCGAAATAAACCATTCCGAGAAACATGTAAAGGTTTTTAATAAACATGAAGATTAAAATCGCGGGTCACGCAACAACGTTCAAGAAAAAATCAATAGAAACCATTTCGGGTCAACGGGGCGGCCTCCACTTTCAATTTCTAGTGCGGCTTAGAATTTGTTCAATGCACAACCGGTTGGGCAATATGATTTTATTATTTTTATTGCGGCAGTTTTGTGAAACAAGTCACTTTATTGTTACCAGTTTCGAGACGGATTGTTCTGAAGCCATGTCCACATACATATGGGAACTAGTTTATTCATTTTTTGCTGCTGAAATTCGCTCTCGTTTTACGGGCTTGATGAATTTATGTATGTTGGGTGATTTAGATCGTTTTACATTCGGCTACATTCTCCAGTTGTTCTTGAATTCATTGTTATTATGTTTATGATTGCCATTATACCGAGGACGATTTTGCCGTTTGGATTTCAATTTGGTTTGTCCCGTCCTAACTAGGTTAGCTGAGAATCAAGGCAACGTTTAAAGACTATCGGCCAGAAGTGTCGGGGAATTTTGGCTCTAGAAAGTCAACAGTCCATCGTTTTACTACTTCATAAATTACACATTTTAAGACGCTTTTATCAAAAAACATCGTGCTTTTTATTGGGGGGTTATAATGATGTAATTTATTTATCGGGTGTGGTCAAACTTCTAGGGAGTGTTCAGGGCATAAATAGTCAAACTAATCCTTAGGACACTCCAACCTTTTGACGCCTCAGAAGCGTTTTATACAAAATCATCTTTTATCGAGATTTAATTACTTGATTAAACTTAAATTTGCTGGTACGCAATGACTCAAAATTACTAAAATACTACCAAAGTATTAAAAATACGCATAAGCTGGTCAGCCGATTTTTACTTAGACTTTTCCAAGATTAATTCTTTGACTTTCTGAAAATTAGTCTGAAGCGCGATTTGCTTGAAAGTTACTCGGTTTGAGGAGCAAATCATCTGCTATTAACTGCCGGAAGAGCAACTGTTTCACGAATATGCGTTAAGAGTGAGGAATTTTTCAGTCGCTCGACTTGCAAACTTTGGCCAGTTTCAGGTGAGAGTTTCGAAATTTTTTAACAATCAGTTTACTCCCCGTTGGTATTTTAACTCACCAGTTCGGTAGAGTGAAGTTTGTGTTGTTAATGCGCCTAACGATAACTTTGTTGCCTGTTTCCGGTTGGGCGCAAAAAATTTTTGAAAATGGCTCAGCACGAAAGTTTTTATCAGGTTCAACTGAAAGTTTGACGTGAACTGAAAAATCAGCCTGCCGTCCTACTAGATTGAAATTTACCCCAGTGTTAGCTACCGATCGTGTTTAAAACTGTACAAAATTCCCAGTTTTCAGTTGCTCTGGATTAAATGCAAGGATTTTTTGAAAATGGCCCAACTTGAAATTTCTGGTCGGGTTTTGCAATTTATTGCGTTCTGCAAGAGGTTTAGATCGATATTTTCTAAAGTTCATCTTCCTACAGTAAATCTGAAGCTAGCAAACGTGGCTTTTGCTTCCATATCTAATTTTTTACATGGTTTTTTAGAGCTGAAAATACCTAGCAACTTTTGGTAGAAAAATTGTGGTTGTTTTAATTTCTAGTTACTATTGGGCAATTATTTCCAAAAAAGGTTGAAAAACTATCATAACAAGCTGGCGGTTTTTGGCACTTTGAAAGGTTGTTTTATTTCTGATTCCAAAATTGCAGAATTTTTGAAGAAGTTTCTACTTATGCTGCACTTTTAATATTTTTATTATCAGCTATTTTCAACTTCATTATAACTTATTTTCCTTGATTCCAGTTTGCTAAACTTCCAGTTTCTTGACACAAATGAAAAATCAAACTTTCATGTATAAATTGTGTTAATTGCAAAAATCTTTAGTTAATACTTTCAGACTCATATGTGAAGAGCGAAGGCAAAAAGATGATCGGTGAGGGTTTATAAGAGAAAATATGTATATATTGAGACGTAAATAGTAATCTACAAAATATATGGTAATTGGTCGATTTGAGTTTTTTAAATGATTTTGCAAATTGTTGAAAATGTCCCCCGTTATTCGCTAAGCAATAATTTGCATGTCTTTAAAGTCTTCAGAAAAAGTTCCCTCTTCTTGTATAAGTGGATGTATTTTGTATAAATTTTCAAATTGAAACATTATTTAAGGTGATTCGTTTTTAAATAAAAACCCTTTTTATAACAAATAGCACATGTAAGCTAGTTCGAGTACTTGAAGAGTCGAAAAAATCGTTTCTTTTTGGAATTTCGATTGCAATAAATCTTGAATTAATGAGAACATGATAAAAAACTTCACTTTTGTGATTCAGAGGCAACTAGATAATACGACAGATAATCTTTTCAAAACTCCCATTTCTATGAAAAAGACAAAAGTATAATTCTCCTGCCAAATTGTTCCGCAATTAGCATGCAAACTCACTCAAACTTAGATGTGCTTTGCTGCGCTAAATTTCCGGCTTCTTGACCCGAAAAAGGCCAATTTCCAGATATAAATTTTGTTTAAAACACACCAACTTTGCAAAAATCTTTAGCTAACACTTTCATACCCAAGTGTGAATGGAAAACACATATAAAAACCGAATTAATAAAAAATGACTGGGCGTTTTATTCGGCAAGTAATGCTCACTATTTCTCTGAATAATTCAATGCACAAGTTTTCGGTCCAATTAGAAACGAAATCACAGTTTTGTGATATTTTTTCTTGGTAACCGAAGGAATCGAAAATACGCATATGTAAGCACATACATACATGAGATAAAAGCGGGTCTAATTATGTTAGATTTTTAATCGGAATTCCCGTTCGTTCAAATTAACGATGCCTAGAATGGAACATTTATTTATTTAGAAATTGTTCGAAGAAATATAATTACGTGAGAAATATGCCTAATAATCCGGCTGAGCGCAAACAATAAGTATAGTTAATTAAATCCCCGAAAATAAAACGAGCCAGTGTTATCTGTCGCATATTCATGAGCTCGAAAACAATTATATTAAATTTATTTGGGGTTCTAATTAGAGAAATAAAAACTCTATAAATTAGAAGCGGTGGCGCGTGAAAAACGGAAACTATTAGTCAAAATCATGTGAAGAGATTGGGAACCGGATAGCGTATAGGCTGAAAAGAATTAAAATTACAAATTTATTTCTATATTAGCAGGTATTTTGATATTTCCGGATCCATTGATGAGAATGATAGAATTCATCCTATTTCCGATTTCATCACCGATTTACTCAGTTCAACCGGACCCATCGGTGTTAATAATGAACCGCATCAACTCCTTTTCCATTAAATATCAACCATCAACAAACCTTCACTCTCCCTCGATGGGCTTTTGTCTCTCAGCTCCGGAACCTGAATCTTCGTCTTTTCTAACAGCAGCTCGATGTCTTTGCCTTGCGGATTGTTCACCAGATCAGACTTGAGGATGGTGACTTGCCTTTTCAGTTCGTCGTAGTCTTTGTACAAGTCCAACTTACTTTCTAATCTTACTATGTGTAGTCTTTTTTGTTCTAGTTGCTCCTCTAGAAGCGTAATTCGAGCAATGGACGACTCTTGAATTTTACTAATACAGCCCTGCAGTCTTTGCACTTCTTCCAATAGATGATTAATCTGAAACCAAACAACAGCTGATTAAGAATGGGATTAATTCCTAATGGAAATCTGATTGTTAGTTGCGTTTGTCTGACGCAAATTGTACCACATGCGACATTGCCCTAAAACAGGTGCTTTTTATTTGGTTTTATTGGTGTATTTTTCTTCGAATTCGTTTTGGATTTTGCGTAGATTTGGCAATTTTTATTGCCTTATAATCCGCTTAAGGATTTACTGGTGACCGTATGCTTACTTGCATTGTGGGAGGATTTAATCTACGCTAGATTTGGGTGGTTTTATTGATGGCCGTAAATTATTCAAATAAGACCCAATTTTCTGGGCTTTAAACTGGCAATTAAATACAGCGTGTTCGGTGTCATTTTATTAAAATTTTTGGTGATTTGGTAATTTTTTTCTGTTTAGTTGCACTGGAACCCGTTTAGTTCAGATAAAGTTCCACTAACCATGATGGGAAAATAAATAGATAAAGCCAAATGCAAACAAGATGAGGAATATATTTGCGCAACCGTGAACATTTAGAATCATGCTGCTGATTAGCATATGATATGAAGAAACGGATTCATGAATTGCCTAAAATTTTCAACAATTAGGAAATGTAATCTCTCAATCTGCTACAATAAAAGTTTCCATTTATTTTTCAAGAATTATGTAAATTCGCTATAATTTAATTTTTATTGTTATCTGGATTGGCATATCTCGACATCTATTGCTCTACGGTTTTAGAATAAACAATAAAATTTATTGTTTCGGTTTTAATTTGGATCAAGGATTTTCATTAACATATACGTTTTCAGCCTCGCACAGACCAATCATTTATTATTTGTGGAGCGAAAATGGAAGTAGGTGCAAAAATAACGCAAAAGGCAAATTAATATCTGCATATATGTATTTTAACTAGGTCTGGTAAATATTTGCATTTTTCATCCATATCAAATCTTTATTATGCCATAGCTACACCTAAGGCTGGCGCTGATCTGGGGAAAGATTATTCATTATTCGTAAACCTCGGTAGTCTGGCTACAGCTTTTGCACGAAAAAGATTACACTAATAGTGCGTATCCTCTTCAAAGTTTTTCTAGGATTGTTTGAATATACCGGGATAATAATAACAAGGTTTGTGGGTAAACTGGGCTGGATATCAAAAGAGTTAAGCTTTCGTGGCCGTTGCTAGAAACTAGCGAGTTTTTTCGGCTTGTAGGTCGTGGTGAACAAGAACTTCTGCCTTACGTTTCGCAAGTACCAGCAGCTTGCATCTTCAGAGGTAGTTGAAGTCTTTAAGATGATTGTCTTCATTTTAAAGTTGCTTGAAAATAATTCGTTGTCCTCATCTACAGTTTCATCGGCATTATGATCTTTTTGTTGTTCCAATGTAGACGCTTAGACTTTTGCAATTGTCAATAAAGGCCGTTTCCTCATAACCGATTTTTGAGGTTTTTTATATTGTTTTTCATCGCCTTTTCTCCAAAGCTTTCCGTTTCTATCCATCACTTTTGCAATAAATGGAAAAATTCTTTGAGTGTTTTTTTACTTACACAAATGTAGGTGCCATCTAAACGCTTTCCTAATCCCTTCTAGAGAAGTTTAAAATCTGTTTCCAACTGTTGCAGTCCACGGAATCTTTGTTGATATCGATATCCGTAAAAAATCTATGATAGATTTGCACGTTCAGATAAACCCCGATTCGAAAGGGCGACAGGTTCGATCTTGCGTGTCCCGCAAATTAATCAATGCCTTCAAAATAGGGCTGAAGAGAGATTACGGAAATGTCTTTATTTTCGATATAAGTAATTGATTGAACTCGTCCTTATGAAATCAGATCCGGGATTAAAATAAAACTGATTACAATCGAGCAAACATTCCTCGCTCTAATGTGGAAGAGTCATTAGAAAATAGGCCATTCCGATTAAATTGATTAACCGAAAATTGCCACGTTTTTTGGCATTGATTCAGGAAACGTTTAATTATTAAATACGAGCCAATTGAGCGAAATTTTGTTCCATTAGGTTTATTTTCCCCACAGATTCCACAATTTCAGTTTGTTTACTGCATTCAATAATTTGTGATTAGAACTTCACACACATAAAACATCATCGTCAATTTCGCATATTTCTAACTATAATAGACCAACTAAGAATCTGGTTTCAAGCCCCTGTGGGCGACTTTTTTATTCTCCTTAGCCAGTCCGGTCCTGATTCTATTATCTATTTATCTTTGTCTATTTCGTGAGTATTAATAAGGAAAGGGGTGTATTTAACAGGGCAGAGGGTGGCAGAAATCGAAGGAAATTTGATTGTGTTCTGGGGGATATCCTGGTGGCGAATTTAAAGTTATTGATTCGAGTTTAGCGTGATGGCTTTCTGCATTAATATCGGAAAATCCATAGGCTTTCCATCCATAAAATGAATAGTTGTTTCGATATTTTCACTATAGAAATACAAGAACAAAATGCAAACAAATTTTTAATGGAATAGGTCAAGTCACAGGTGCATTTACCTACACGCAAATATTTTCCCAAAAGAAATGCGTGTATGAAAAAGTGCTCGGATTAGATAGTGAAAACACACAAATAACTAAATACATTATTTTCAAAATAATGTTTTAAGCAAAATCCAAACAATGATATGTTACAGGAAAACATTAGAAAATGTAATTTATTATTGAGATTTTGGAAATTTTGTCCTCCTATGTCGCTTTAAAAGGTTGCACATCTTTTAGCTGAAATTTTAAATTTTCTTCCTATTTTTTACATATGTAAAATACAATATTTAATATATAAATATAAAAATATTAAATTTTCGAAAGCTGAAATCTACTTCCATTTTAATGGATTTGAAGTTGGTCTTAGTTATTTTGTAGCAGAAAAACTGTCGAACTTGTTAAAATATTTTAATATAAAATCGTTCTGTTGCGCTTTTGCGCAATTAGTTTCCTGTTCTGTTCTGGCTTTTTCCAGATTTTAAGTTCAATTTGTTTATTTTATTTCTAGCGTAAAAACTGTCGAATTTATTTGAATATTTTGATCTAAAACCCTTTTAAGCCATAAAATTGTCTTTTTCTGTTGAGAATTTTTCGTCATTGCTTTTGGTTGAATTTGTTTAGTTTTATTTGTAGCGGAAAAACCATCAAAATTTTTATTACAATTTGATCTAAAATCGTTCTGTTGCACTTTTAGCCATGATTTTTTTCTGTTCAAGATTTTTCCAGATTTTAAGTTGGTTTTAGTTCAATTTGATCAGTTTCTTTATAGTGGAAAAACTGTCGAATTTTCTAGAACATTTTGACCGAGAGACATCCTTCTGTTACATTTTTAAGCAATGAGTTTAATTTTCCTTAACTCACATGGCTGTAAAATCCTATAAAAGGCTTCGAGAGACGTTCCGTTTAGAGCAAAAACATTTTTGAAAAAAAATTAAAAAATTAAAATTAAATTTATGTTCCAGTTTTCTTATCCATTAATTATTAATTATCCATTAATTAAATTAATTTTTTTAAAGGTTTTGCGCTTTTTTTGTGGCGTTGTTTTGTGATCTACGTATAATTTCGTTTGGATAAACATAATTTGTATTGTTATTATCAAAATATTTAGAGTTTTGCATCTACTGTTAAAATGGTTTTTCGGACTTCCAGCTGTGCCACATGTGGACACCTCTGAAGAAGCAAGCCACTCGTGCTAGCGAAACGTTTGAACGCAAGCCACTCGTTTAAAAGCTTGAAAACCTTACTAATTTCATAAATAAAATCAAAACTGACCAGGGCTTAATAAGCGGACCTTTCCTCAGTCAGTGCAAAACAAGTTTGTGGACTTTCTAGATATCAAAAAATCAATTTTTGAAGACGCATTGAAAAGTGTTTAAACAATTAAGAAAACGGTTTCCGTTTTGGGCAAATCGAACCTTCAGAGCGTATTAAACCATCTTTTGTTCATTCATGCAAAAACTTGCAAATGACTGACTTTCGTTCACCCAAGTGCAAGTGAAAAAATTTGTTGATTTTCTGGATATTGACAAATTAATTTTTTAAGAGGCATTAAAAAATGTTCTTTCCATGAATAGTTAAGAAAACTGCCGAAAAATTCCAGATTATGAGCGCAAATCGAAACTTTCGCAGCTTATTAAACTATCTTTTGTTCATCCAATGCAAAAGTTGCAAATGAGTACAGAACAGATGAGAATTTTTAAAATATTTTAAAATAAGCTCAGAAAAGACGGAAGACGATTGAGGGATTTTAGAACATATCGAGAAAAACTCAGACTTTTCGCACTTTGGCAATATCACCTTCAGCGTTAAGACCCTTAACTTTGCCTTCATTTAACATCTTCATGTCTTCAATTATAACATCATAAACCTTGAAGACTTGCATTTAAATTCAACATTAGCAAACTATTTCTTAAACAGGGAAACTACAAAGTTTTATAACATGAAAAGACTAAGCTTGCCTAAAAGTTTGCGCAAACTTGTTTAATGGTGTGAATGAAATTTTAAACATTTTATTTATAACTGTCTAAATCAAATAATATTCGTACAAGCAACAATCTTCTGATAATAGAGCAGCAAACACGTTTCGTGCAAATACATTAACGCGCAATAATTAATTGAATGCAAATCCTTAGAAAAATAATACGGTAAATCGTGGCAAATAAAGCATCAAATTCGAACAATGTTAACGGTTTTAGAAATTATATAAACTGGGACAAAAGTGAGCAAAAAACCCTACGGAATCCGAAACCATGAAATATCGAAAGCCATAACTCAAAATCAGGCTTAGAAATCGAGGGATTTGGTTTTTGTGTCTGAATAAGCGACATGACTTATTGTGTGGCCACCGCCCTTGTGATTACTCAAAAGAGGGGACGCACGTCTTGATTTAATCCAGCGATTGATTCATTAGGAAGATTTGGGTTTGAGACCGAAAAACCAAAAAAATGCCTGATTATTGAGGGTTTTTTTGAATGCAAATAACAGATTGTCTTTATTTGAGTGAGGAGGAGGAAGTTACA